TTATCGCGTCAACGCAGTCGTCGGAATTGGCCTCTCCACGGGATGCCGACGCTGCTTACTTCCATGGCATTGCGAATATGCGGCATAGTAAATGGGCCATCGCCCATGCCTTGGGAAAGAAGCGATCCTCTTGAAGGTTGCAGGACTATCTTGGTACATATATATACCTTCTATAAGGAGATCTTCATGGTGGAGCCCTGGTTTAGGGTTGCAGTGGGTGTAAACTGCTGGCCAGCAGAGGCAAGGGTGTCTGCCGACGAGAATGCGGAACTGACCCTCTCATTCTTGCCTGAGGAGGTTGGTCCAGCGATTGCAGAGGTGAAGGCTAGTTTGGTGTCTTGTCTGAATGGCCTCCTAGTCTCCTTTTTCCATTAGTTTTGAGAGCATCTTTAGGCGATGATTAAGCGAATGTTCTAAAAATTCTACATTGGGACATTGTATGTGTCCCATTTGAACTTCCGTGTGGTTCCCTAATCCCAAAATTAGTTGGGGAAACAGATATCGGTCACATTAGACCGTTCACGGTGATAAATTTCCTTCAATGGATATTTGCTAAGGTGCGTGCAACACGGTTTGCCCTGGTGGTGGAATGCCTCACACACCCTTACTAGTTCACCTTTGTTAAGGGGCGCCGTATTCACGATGCGACCCTAGAGCATCATGAATTGTTCATTAGGTTAAGGTTCAGTGCTAGAAGGGTGTGTTCCTTCAGCTAAATTTCTATAATGCTTACAATCGCTTGGACTGGTCATTTCTCCGCCAAGTCCCTAACCGGAGGGGGTTCGATGATCGTCGGTGTTGTTGGACCATGGAGATGGTCATGAGTGATAGCACCACTACCAATGTTAATGGAGAGGTGAGCGCCTATTTTATAGGTCGTCGCGCGGGGTGAGGTCGGGGTATCTATTTCTCTCCTCTTCTTTAACCTTCTCGTTGACGCCCTGGCGGACATCCTGGATGAAGCTATGATGACTGATCACATCTCTGGTGTGGTTGGGCATATTATCCCTAGAGCTGCATGGTGTGGCACATCTACAATATGCATATGACATCATGATCATGCTGTGAGGGTCGTAACTGGATATCATCAATCTTACGTTCCTTCTCCTTTCATGCGTTCATGTTGGGACTTTATATCAACTTCGATAAGAGTGGGGTTGTGGTCATGGTGTTTTCATTGGAGAACAAGCGCCAAATAGCAGAGAACCTAATTGTAGGTTATCCTTGGATACTTGGGGATGCCGCTTTCTAATTCTATGATCCATACCAGGGACTTTGGCCTGCTTTTGGGGCGTGTTGCATTCAAGACGGAGTCGTGGCGCTGGAGATTCTCCTCTAAAGGGAGTAAACTCATGCATATAGACTCTTGTCTCTCTAGCCTCCCATGTATATGATGGGATTGTATATTATATCAAAAGAGGTACATAGCTCATTTGACAAGGATCTATCACAATTCTTCTGACAAGCGGTCAATCGGCACCAGAAATACCATATGGTTAAGTGGGATGATATATGCTTCCCTAAGGGCCCATGGGGTTAACGTATTCTGGAAGCCCAATGCATGAATGTGTCCCTTATGCTGAGATGGGTGTGGTGATTCTAAAGGATGAGGGAGGGCTATGGTTGCATCTTATAAAAGCTAAATGCATGCAGGGCTGCCGAGTTCCTCCCTTGTGATCGAAGGGAGCGCTCCTAGTTCTGGGAGTCCTTCCAGGTGATCAAACATGATATCCACCTCGGTATAAACATTTCCATAGGAAATGGAGATGGGACCTTATCTGGTTGGACCCGTGGCTTGGCAAGGCTCCTTTATATGTCGAATTCCCTGCCAATGGAGCGAGTGAAGGCGCGTACATTATGATGCCCATGGCGATTAAGGCTACTGAAATTCTTTCTAGGAGGTGGCCCTCATTCAAAAGGGGAGAGCATCTAATACAGAAGCGCACAATTTTGTAAAAAAATCTCTTACTCTCGAGTATTGTCAATACGTATGGCTACTTCCACTTTAGGATACTTTTGTTGTACCTTATGTAGTTAATCAATAAAGATACCAAACTTACTCAAACAAAAAAGAGTTGACATCGATCCAGGCTACATATGTGCAAAGAAGTTTTTTATAGATAAAGCATAGAAATGGGTAGGGTATGGTGAGGGTACAATAATCACATACCTATACATATGCCCGATGGGTATCCATACTCGATGGATACCCATCGAATATATCAACACATCACTGAAGGGCGATGGCATAGTTCTAGGTACATTGGCGCCACCGAGAGGTTTATAGGGCTGGTGAAATGATGATTGCGAGGAGGATGCAAGCGGGGTATTGTTGGGGAGTGCGAGCAAAGGATGGAGGTGGACTATTGTATGGATGTCTATTTCACAACTTATATACGGAGATTTAGTAGCTTATGTCTATGACAAATGTGACTTTGACGCCCCCGTTTATAATCATGCACTAATCATACATGCATCATGCACGATCACCAATGGTGACCCACGTCAATATCACAACACAACTCTACGACACAACTTAAACATGAATCTTTATATTAGAAGTCGGGGTCACGAGGACCCATAATACATCAGTCAACAAACAAAAAAGTATGGGTATAGACGAAGTTAAACAAGTTTTTCCTTAAGACGGTTGAGCAAAACAATGACACTAGATTGAAAAGGCGCATGCCTCCAGCCTAGGACCTCCGAACTACTCGTCAACATCAAACTCCAAGTAGTATCCATCATCGAGAATACTTGTATCTGAGAGGCTACTATCTTATAGTAGCAACCGGGTTGAAGGAAAAAGATAGCAAAGCAACGGCGAGTACTCATCCAAAGTACTCACAAGACTTACTTTGGAACTATGCTACATATGCATCGATATCAAAGGAATAGGGGTATATTTGTGGGCTAAACTGCAGAAATGCCAGAATAAAGGGGGGGATCTCTATGTAACACATGTGCCATCATCTTGCAGCATTAGAAGAGGAATAGAGCATCTTGTAGCAAAGGAAGGGTATGTGCGCATATGAGTATAAGTAAATAGTACAACAATACCATACCCTGAAATCCTTCCTCGACTCCCTGCAAGAAAGCGATCCTCGGGCATTCCATATTTATAGAACTAGTGAATCATATCTAGTAACCGGTTCAAGTTGTATAGACATATATAGTAGGTGTGTTTTATCAAGTATCCAGTTCAAGTGGTATAAGATCGGGGTACATCTCCAAGCCATCCGTTACAATGGACGCGGCTACCCAAATAGTTTCGTCTTCCCTGCAG